AAAAAAAACACTAAAACATGATCAAAATTAAAAAAATAAAAATAAAATAAAATAAAAACATTAAAAATTGATCAAAAGAACTTCACGACCACTGATTTGTCGGCCCAACAAAACCACCACCTACCCAACACCAATACTAAATCATTTGCCATCACCTTGCTAGCACCACCTCCTCTCTTGCTGCAGCCATCGGAGAACCATATGAGAGCGTGATAACCTCTTTGATAATTTCGGGTAGGGGTTGAAATGCAATTTCACAAAGGACTCTAGCTTTTAGGGACACGTGTGGGCTTTCAAGAAATGATGCAAATTGTTGTTGTTGTTGCAAATGTGATATTGGGATTTGTGATGATGATTGGATGGTCTTAGGTATGTGTTTGAGATTTTCAGCCTTGGCTCCATGAAATTTTTTTATTAAATAAGTAGTTAGGTCATTTCGTAGGGCAGTTTAAGAATTAAAAAAAAATAAATCAACTGTAAATTTTCATGTCTAAGTTAACAATTGATAAAATTTTATTAATTTAAAATATTTAAGTTTGAGTCTATCTTTTTGACATTTAACCACCAAAATATTATTTTTTTTGAAATTATCCCTGGATGTAATATTGTGGAGAACAATAGTGTTTTATTTACATGCATATCAAGGATTGAAATTAAATGTTACTCAACAATTTTAAATTGCAAACAGGAGAAAAAGTCAACATTATTATGTCTGACTGATAAGAGTAGAATTTTTCATACGACAAATCTGGAGATAGATTAGTCGGGTGAGTCATCTCATTGATCGGCCATAGTGGGGACCACACAGACATTTTCCATGTGATTTCGTAGCAGGAAGCGAAGACTGTGTCCCGTCCCGTGCCGTTTCCGACAAATCCCATTATTAATGATTCGGAAATCAGCACCGTTGATCTCAAAACACCCATTATTGACAAGGCCACGGTCCACGGACAGTGACCTCTATGTCGCAACATGGACCTTTTCAACTATGACCCCACCACATTTGAGAATTTTGTTCATTAGGTGTACTACACGTTCTAATACTTTCACGCGCAAATACTGTGCAGTGACTCACTCTCTGCTCTATGCTGCGTCATAATGGAATGTTTATTCCAATTACATGAAATAAAACACTACTCTTCTTTACAAAATGACAATTTTCTTGAAATGGAAATTTAAAAATTCATTTCACAATTAAAAACTCATAAAATGGCATTCTATTCTCAAATAATTTTATTTTATTAAAAAAAAATCAAAATTTCAAAAATACTCTTATGTTTCAAATAAAACCACCACCATTGTCCTTGAGGCCTTCCACCACCATCACCACCTTCTACCACCACCATTCCCTACCCCACCACCGCTGCCACCTCCAGCGGCGTAGCCACATAGGGACAAGTGGGGGCAGTTGCCCCCACTGAATTTTTAATTTTTTAATTTTTTCTAATTTTATATAGAAAGATTTTTATATTCGTATAATTGTCCCCACTAAAAGTTGACATTGCACATAATCTTTTCAAAAAAGGAATATAATCTTTCCAAAAAATATGATATTTTTTTTTCCACTTTCTTAAAATATTATATTCTTTTACACTTTCCCCAAAAATACAAAATATTCTTTCCAACTTTTGACTTTACCATAAACAAATGCGTTGTTAATTTTCAAAAATTTACAAAATCTAAACAAATACTGCAGTGCGAAGACAGGTAATTTGATATATAATTTTTTATCTTCTAAATTTACTATTATTATGCCATGAACATTTTTAAAACTCGACTACGTGCTTTCAGAATATGAAAAATATTTTGAAATATTTAGTACTGTTTAATTTTTACATATATTATTTTGGTTCAAATAATATATATATATATATATATATATATATATATATATATTATTGTTGTTAAAAATTGCCCCCACTGAAAAAAATTTCTGACTATGCCACTGGCCACCTCCACCCTTGTCATTGTCACTACCACTATTGTTTCCTACCACCCATCACAATATCATCACCGTCGATCACCACCATTGCTAACTCAATTGCCTTCCACCACCACCAACTTTTATCGCCGACTCCATCATTATCTTCCACCACCGTTATGTCCACCACCATCGTCATCATTGCCGCCACCACGGTCGCTGCCTTCCACCTACACCGTCATTACCATCACCACCGCCGCCACCTACCCTTACACCACCTTCCATTATCACCGCCTTTCACCACCACCACCTACACCATCGCACCTTCCACCACCGTCACCATAACCTACACCACAGTTGCCTTTCACCACCATTATTGTTACCATCGTCCACCACCTACATCATTGTCGCCTTTCAACACCACCATCTACACTACTTTCAACACCACCACCTACATTAATTCCGCTATCCACCGCGGTAGCCAAGGGCGGACACAAGGGTAGGCAAGGTTGGGCTATAGCCCACCCAAAAAAAAATAAAAAAATTTACTATACTAATATATTAGCCCAACCCAAAAAATAAAAAAATAATAGTATTAGCCCACCCCAAAAACCGAATGAAGCCCAAGTTAACTCAGCCATCTTACTAAAATAAAGACCTAAACCAAATAACCCCATGAATGGGCACCAAAAATAAATAAATAAATAAATAAAAATTTAGGGCAAATCATTTTAGGTTTTTCAGCCTTCAACGTTCAGCTCCTTCAGATTTTGGGGCAAATCATTTTAGATTTTCAGGTTTTTCATTTCAGCCTGTTACAGTCCCACCCAACAAATTGGAATTGCTTTCATCACTTCAAACTCTAAGTATAAAGTACAAGTGCACGATAAATTGATATTCAAGGTAAGTCATCATTCATTTCTTCAATTATTTATATATATATATATATATATATATATATATATATATATATATATATATATATATTATTCCATATTTTTTCTTAACAAAATTACTTAATATATGGTTTGGTTAATTGGTTGATATATTTTGATTTAGGTAAATTACTTAAAAATTTAAAATTACTTGTTTTGCAAACTTAATATAGGTCAACAAATTGAATTGAATCACATAATTTCTAATTGGAATCTTCCTTTGCAGAAATTGCTGAAGGCCAACAAATGGAATTGCTTTCATCACTTCAGACTCTAAGTATAAAGTACAAGTGCACAACAAATTAGATCAATTAATATTCAAAGTAAATCATTTCTTCAATTATTCAATATATATATATATATATATATATATATATATATTCCAGATTTTTTCTTTAAAAAATTACTTAATATAGGGTTTGGTTAATTGGTTGATATATTTTGATTTAGGTAAATTACTTAAAAATTTAAAATTACTTGTTTTGCAAACTAAAGAGTCTAAAATGGAATTAAACAACCACGCTTATGTTATTTATCTATATTATGTTATAATTTTTTTTTTTTGTTATTAAATTTATGTTTAATATTAGCCCACCTCAACGAGAAATCCTGGATCCTCCCTTGGCGGTAGCCATTTTATTTTTTTTAAAACAAAAATTATTGAAGAAGGATATTTTGTTATTTTATTTTATTTGTCACTAAGAGTGATATTTTAGAAAATTGAACTTGAAATTCATTCCATTCTAAATTTTAAATTGATTCAACCAAAAGTTTGTCGATTTTCACATCATTTTATAATTTTATATTGTATATTTACACTTGTCAACATTATACTTCGTTAGGTAAGGATATAGAAAACCAGAGTAAAACAATAACAGGAATGATGGAAAAAGTATTATTGTTTTTAACTTTGTATCCTAATTATTCAATCAATACACTTAAATGAGTGTAAAATAGTCTTTTTAATTTTATTCAATAAATCTCTATTTTGAGAGTGATTTTTTGTTTTAGCCAACAAATATTTATTCTGATTTCTCTTGTTACTTTCACTTTTTAAGGAAGCAGAAAGTTGGACCTGTCATCCTTTCCCCTCCTCTAAGGTATTGTTTGGTAATTTAATTTAATATTTAATTTTAAATTAATTAAGTATTAATTTAATTAAATATATTTGATAATATAATTTAAGTATTACTTAAATTAAAAAATAAATTCCAGCGGCCTCTTTTGAGATTTGCACAAATTATACATTATCTTTGAATCATTTATATTCTCTTATATTCGGAACTCTCTAAGACCATTTTTAATCATCATTATTTTAAAAACATAAAAGAGTTGAAGGAAGTTCAATTACTAGATATAAATGGCTAAAGATCGAGTTATGCATGCTGCATGTCATGGCTATACCATTTTTCGGCTTGGTATTATAGTGTCATCTAAATCAATTAATCAAGTATATATCAGTACAAAAGTTGTAACCAAGTGAACAAGGTAAATGATACTACAGCTATAAAAGAAAATAAATGAAATAATAATAATAATAATAATTCCTTATGCATCATATTATGGAATTAGTGAACTAGTACTACTATAAGAAACACACATACAATAAATTCTACCTTAGTCATACCTAAAATCACTGAATATATGTTAGCTGAATAGCAAAAAAAAAGGAAAAATAAAATAAACTAAGATATATATATATATATATATATATATATATATATATATATATATATATATATATATATCTTAATTAATGTGTGCCATCGAGATACATTTAGTGCATAGTATGGGGCCAATAATTATATGATATCTCTCCATATATATTTAAAAGGATATTTTAATGGAAAATATATATAAATCAAAACTAAAATTTTGTATCTATTAGTAAGATAATTCATCGTCTCTCATCTTAGTCAATCATAAGTTCATAACTAAAATATTCAAGTACCATACTGGCATAGATAAATATACAAAGAGCCCACAAAATTCTATAAAGAATTGTGCATATATACATATACATAGGATATATCAACATTCATATATATATAGAGTTGTAATTTTGTTTTTGTAAATATATATTTGTGAATGAAAGAGTTATTATATATTACTATGATTATATATTATTATTATTCTTTAGGAAGAAATGAAAGAATTGCAACTTGAAAGAAATCAACTATACATTCATCAGAGAGTAAGAATCACGACTAATGTGTCCTCCATTAATATCTTCTCTCCCTCTAGACTCTCTACACAAATGAAATTTACTCATTAACGAAACATATAAATCGCCATAACCGTACATCATCACGACCCAAAGTTTAAAGTTTTAACCCAAAATCGTACCGATTCGATTCACGAGAGTACCTACTGCTGCTGTCTTGGAGAAGTCAACGGAAACAAAGTCAACAGCTCCGGCGGCTCCGATTTCATGGGAGTGCTCAACGGCGACGGATGCAAGTAAAACCCCTTCTCGGCAATTGCCTTCTCCTCCTCCAACACAGCCGGCGACGACGGCGACTCTGCCCCGACTCGGGCGGAGAATACCGTGTCGCAGCCCAGTGGGGTTACCGGGCTCTGAATCGGGGACGCGACCAGGTGAGTCTGGCGTGGCGAGTGGTGACTCGGTGGTGGTGAGTTACGGAGCGAGGTTAGGCCGAGTTTGATCTCCAACTTCCTCATGGACGGCCTTCGGTCCTGGAGCTTGAACGGTGAACGGCGAATGCCGGTGGCATCAACGGAATTGGAGGGCTTGGAGGAGAGCCTTGCCGGAAGGGTCACCGGAAGTTTGTCCGCAGAGTCACCGGATGCACCGGTAAGCTTCTGGACGAGTTCTCTGAAGGTTGTAGTGTCCGCTTGAACGAAGGTTGTTGGAGCTGGAGATGAAGGGGCAATCATAGTACTGTTTGAGTGTTTTTCCATTTGAGAGAGACAGAGACAGAGAGCTGCCTTTCTTAGACCATTTTTTTTTTTTTTTTTTTTTTTTTCTAGAGAGAGGGAATCGTGAGCCTATTAGTGAAGCAAATTCAATGAAGCAACAACTGGTACCATAGAGAAGCGGCCATAAACTAGAGAGAGCAGCGTGTTTTTTTGGGATGATTTTGTACTCTGATGAGTCAGAACTGAGAAGTTTGTTAGTATTTAAAGAGTGATTTTCTAGAGGTATTGTTGCTGTGACTTTGAGGTAAAGGGAACTTTGATGCAACCAAGTCAGATCTGGTGGTGAACCTGGACAAAACCAAAGCCGAAGCCGAAGCCAAAGCCAAGCAGAATCTTCTGATGTGCTTAATTGGCGATATTCCAAGAAAATTGCAAATAGAATTGTCTTCAAATTAAAAAAAAAAAAAAAAATGAAGAGTGCTAATTGCATTTGTGCTCATAACTATCCTTTCATAGTTGCATTTTTTATTGGTCACAATTTTGTACGTTTATTTGTGAGATTGTTATAAAATTTTAAGAAAAAATTATCTTTTAACATTTTCTTATCTCTCTCATTTTATTCTTTTCTCTTCAGTTTTATTCCTTATATCAATAACATTTTAAATCGCCAAACAAAAAAAAAAAAAAAAAAAAAAAGGGAATATATTATTTTCTTTCTTTTTGGATATAATATTATGGGAACGAATTATTTTATTTCTTTTTTTTAATTATATTTTAACTATATATGTATGCGCTATGTATGCGCATAGCATTCATGTTCAGTTACTATAATCACAATTCATATAGTTTTTTTTTTTCTATTTTTTTTCTCTCCTTACTTAATTGATGTACATGTATATATATAATATGTAATATGTAACTATATATATATATATACACACACACGTGTATATATATATAGTTAAAATATAATTTTTTTAAAAAAAATAAAATCATCAATTCTTATAATGTTACTCGTTTTGACAAATTTAAAAAAAATAATAATAATATGAATTGTGATTATAGGAATTGAACGTGAATCCATATATAGCACACATATATATATAGTTAAAATATAATTAAAAAAGAAATAAAATAATTCATTTCCATAATATTATTTTTTTTGACAATCCAAAAAAAAAGAAAATAATATATTTTCGTAATACTTGTTTTTTTTTGGTAATGATATAAGGGATAAAATTAAGAAGAGGAGAATAAAAGGAGAGAGATAAGAAAAGGTTAAAAGGTAATTTTATCTTAAAAATTTATATTTATAATTTCCTAAAAGTAGGAGACATCTCATAAATGAATATGTAATTATAGGAATGGTGACCAATAAATGACTGCAATTAGTATTCCACTTGAAAAATATATTTATTATTGTCATTGGCCTGTTTAAAGTGATTCGATTGGATAAAATTCCTATCAAACCCGAGTCATTAATTTTAATTTAGTAGGAACAACATTGAAAATACAAAAACTTAAATATTGATTGATACTATTTTTATAATATATTTTTTCATTGTCGTAATTTTCACTTTTTGAACGTTGTGTGATAATTTATTTTAGTATGTGAAACCCTACTAATTGCAAGACACTATTGTAATTTTAAGTAATGGAAAAATGAATTCACAAAAAAATCAATCAATTCATGTTAACAACATTCTTTTTCTTTTACTTGAAAAAAAGAATGAGAGAGTAATAGAGAGATATCGATAACTAATACGGAGAAGAACTTGATGTGAGTAGTAGATAAATGATGTGAGAATAATTTTTTTATTTTTGGATAATTTGGAGTGGGGGCATTTTATGATTTAAAAAAATTATATATTATACAAATGTAAGAAATAACTAAATTTGAGTTGGGGCAGTGGTTCCACTGAGCCCTGGCTTGGCCATTGATGGAAATTGTTAGGAATAGTGGGAATTCAATGATTAACAAAATTTATACTACATGATTGTAAAAGAAAGAATGATGTCAAATAAAAAGAGGAAATACATGATAATAACCATTCACAAAAACAAGGGGATAAGAAAATTACAACAAATATTGAGCATTTAAATTAATGAGATAATATGATAAAGCAATGATCATGGATATAAGGTATCCAATAATCAATTTGAATTTATACTAAAGATATTTACCGTGCAAATTATTTACTTAAGGGCAAAGTACAATAAATCTCCCGTCTAATTTTTTTATTAAAGAAATTCCCCCCAACTATTTGAGAGGTAAAAGAGTAAATATTTGGATCAAAATGTCCTTATTACTATTTTTTTTAAATCATAATTTATCCGAATTTCAAAAATTCATATACCATAAATCGTACATCAAAATATTGCAAATAATATATGGATGGAAAGCTTATGAAACAAGGATTCCTAAAATATAAGATTTGTGCATGCCACCATAACTAGAGAAAAATAGGGAATCTAAGAATCTGCTCCAAAAATCTTAAAATAAAATACTCAGGATATTTGCAAGAAAATTTCTAGAATTATTCATTTACATATGGAGCATAAAATATAAAAAAATTAGCCCCAAAATAGACCGATTATCCATTTTATTTTATTTTCTTTTTAAATGATGAGTGTATAAGAAAATGAAAATACCTTGACGCATAATATGGTATCTCATAAAATCAGTTTCTATTTGGGCTACTTTTTTATATATATTATACTCTATATGCAAATGAATAATTCAGAAAATTTTCTTGCAAGTAAAAAAATAAAATAAGATTGCTGGAGAAGATTCTTAAATTGCCTATTTCTTTCTGGTTATGGTGGTTTGTTAAACAAATATTATATTTATGAAATCCTTGTTTCATAAGCTTTACGTGCATATATTATCTGTAATTTTTGAATATACGGTTTGTGAGATATGAATTTTTGAAGTTCGGATAAATTATGATTTAAATAAAACAACATTAAAAAAATTAGATAAGGGGGTTTACTGAAAAAGACGCCCCCCGCCGGGGCGGGGGGGGGGGGGGTTGGGTTATTATACTTTACCCTTTACTTAATAAGACAAATAGGTAAAAAAAAGTAGGAGTAAGCAAAAAATATCTACATATATACATTATCTTTCTAGGTCTAGAAAAGCATAGTATATAGAGTGCTTAGAGATATAATTTGGTGGAATTTATATAAAAAATAAATTTTAATAGAAATTATAATGATTATTCAACATATTATCTAAATACCTGGGGCCGAGCCAGAATTTCAGTTGAGGGGGGGCACAATGTTAGGAAAAAAAAAAAAAAAAAAAAAAAAGAAAAAAAAAAAAAAAGAAGAAGAAGAAATAGAAGAAGAGAATAATTTAAAGGAATAAAAGGGGGAAAAAAGAAAGAAAAAGAAGAAGAAGAGTAATTTAAGAAGGAAAATTTAACTTTTTTTATGAATTTAAAGAATAAAGAACTAGAAAATTAATAGATAATTTTATAAATAAATAATTTTAAAGGGGGGCATAAACTTAAAATTTTCATATATATATATATATATATATTACCATATATATATAATGGGAAGGGCTAGGCAGGGGCAAGTGCCCCCTGGGCATACACTGGCTCTGCCTCTGTAAATACTAAAACTAGAGTTTGCATAACATGTGATAAGACTAGTGATATTTCCATAAATGTTAGATTGTACCAAGGGTATACACTAAGTTCATATTAGCTAGTCACAATAATTTTAAACCATTTGAGATCACAAATAACTTATAATTGAGAAGAAGACATCCTATGGTGCATGTTATTTGCCAATGATATAGTGATATTATAAACTTTTAGCTAAAGAAAACTTAGCAAAAAATTTGAAAAAATAGAGCAACCAATGACGCTTGTAGACACCTCATTTTTGCCCCTATTCAATTCCTAGGCCAATAGGGGATTGACGCCACTAAGTGTCACTTAGGAAAATCTAGTTGTTCGACCTTCAATTGGACACCACCATTGCATCTAGAATAGCCCAAAACCTAGAAATCCACCTAGAAATGTGCACATAAGGAACCTTCAGGCACCCAATCACGCCCAGATCACTCGAAATGGCAAAAACCTATGATTTTGGAGATTTCTCACAATCGGATTGTTAGATCTCAAATTTGACACTGCCATTGCACTATGGATGTCAGAAAAGCCCCACACCTACCTCAGGATCCCAAAATGGGCCAGTGACAAAATCAAAATTTTACCTTGTCTCAAAATTGAACCATCCGATCGAATATCTTAGCTTCACCAATGCGCTTATAAGTTCTAAGATACTTAAAATTTATTATAAGCATCAACCATGTAATGACCCACTCTACATTGTATAATATTACCTGTTTTGGGCCCAAGCCCACACGGTTTTGCTCTTGAATTTTACCCTAAAAGGCCACATATTAATTGGAGTGACACACCTACATATATAACACTTCCCCTTTCCACATCCAAGCAATGTGAGATTGTGCACTTGTACCTCGCCTAGTGTGGTATCCTGCCAGTGCCTCTGGCACCCTCCCACAGCACACCAGCCTACAAGGTCACCACAATCACCCCTCATTAGGCCCAATGTCCCTGTTGGCCACATTTCTGGCTAGGTTGGCTCTGATACCAATTGTAACAACCCACTCCACTACATGATATGATACTGTTCGCTTTGGGCCCGAGCCCGAACGATTTTTGCTTTTAGGTTTTACCCCAAAGGCCTCATACCAATTAGAGTGAAACAACTATATATATATCACTTCCCCTATCCACATCGAGGTAATGTGGGATTATAAACATGTAGCTCACCTAATGTGGTAGCCTACAAGTGTCTCTAGCACCCGCCCACAAGGTTGCCACAAACCGATCTACACTCGGGATCAAAATCGAGCATAGGGGCAAAATGGTAATTTTGAACCTAGGAAAATCGGGATGTAGGATTGGAATTCTAAATCCATCATTCTTCTCAAAGTATCCAAAAAAGATAGATTTGACCTTTTTCGGGGTATAGTTCTCACGACCCATTTTTTTCATCGTATGGGCTAAAATGGTCATTTTAAGAAAATATAATTGTCCGATTGTTGATTGGACCATGCTATAGTGTTTAGAACACCCAAATCCTTTCGGATTATGGATTTGATTATGAAAGTTCCATAGTTGAATTTTTGATGATCGAAGGGCCCCGCTCGAACATTGCCACGTAGGCACCATACAGGCAAGACATGTGTCCCACAGTCCAAATTGGCTTGAGATAGTTAATGACCAGTCAAAATTGATTTTTAAAAAATCAATTG